TCACCACATGGAACTTATTTCATTGAATAAAGGAGAGCATTTGGCTTTTTGTATACATCATGTTGCCTTTTTGGCATATAATTCCTTATGATTATTTTGGGCTTGTTTAATAAACTTCATTTTAGGAGAAACTATGACAACAAGCTACAGAGATGACTATCACACCAACTAAGGAACAAATCAACTATGCATGATTCTGGCAGACACATCTGTGCAAACTGTGATTGAAAAAATTACTTTGGGAATCATTTCATCTCCATGACAGCACCTTAGACTAGGAATAGTGTATTCCAGATTCTTGGTTCAGCCCATGGCATTATTGCCATTTCTACCAAAAGAGAAGGTCTATAGAAATCGGTCATACACCAGAGTAGGATGGCTCTAAAGACTCAATAGACTTCCTGATGCTTTATATTTATCATTTGCTTTTTCATAATGTTAACATTCAAAAAACTGAGAAACAATGTTGGATGCTAATTATTAAGATTACTGGACTCTTAGTTGCTGTTGTTTTTTATTAGTAAAAGACGAAATACCTCTCTCATGGCTTTGAACCACATTCCCCTACTTGACACTGATCAGGTTAGGATGATGCTATACAATGATTGGCTTAGCTCAGAGTCCTACAGATCCAACCCTACTATGACTCCCTTTACAACATTTTTGTTTGAAAGTGATTGCATTTCCTTTTATTTCTAAATATGTTTTAAACTTGGTGCATACAAAACCTGGAAAAAATATAAATTTGAGAAAATGCATGTATGTCAGAGGGATCACAACAATATCCTGTGATCTATACTGTTTCAACCATTTGGCTTAATAATGATATGTTTTAGTGCTTAAGATTTATTTTCCCACATTATTTGTCTATGAATAATTTGAATATATATTGTATGCATTCTCCTTTTCCTGTTGTGGCCCGAATTTGAAAATTGCTGTAAAATTGTTCATTCTTATACGTGGTTTCCATCAGCACTGTGTATGCCTCAAGGACTAGGGGATGGAATATAATAAGCACAGAAAAAAAGGGGCTTTTGTTTTGTTTTTTCTTCTTTGTATTACATTTTTTCAATTATTTTACATACTGACCAGTTTCTTCTCCTTCCTCTCATCCCATCCCCTCCCTCCATCTCCCCCCATCAACTCCTCCTCCATCTTCTTTCCAAAATGGGCAGGCCTCCCATAGGAGTCAATGAAGTATGGCACATCAAGCTGAGTAAGGAACCAGCTCCTCCACCTGCATCAAGGCTGAAAGAGGCAATCCAGCATGTGGAATAGGTTCCCAAAAGCCAACTCAAGTGCCAGGGACAGGTCCTGATCTCACTGCTAAGAGCCCCACAAACACATCATGCTACACACCTGTCACATACATGCGGAGGGCCTAGATCGGTCCCATGCAGGGTCCCTAGCTGTTGGTCCAGAATCTATGAGTTCCCACAAGCCCAGGTCAGCTGTCTCTGTAGATTTCCCTGTAATGACTTTGATCCCCCTGGCTCCTCCTCCCTGTCTTTACCTGGACTTCTGGAGCTTGTCCAGTGTTTTGCTGTGGCTCTCTGCATCTACTTCTATCAGTTACTGGATGAAGGCTCTCTGATGACAATTAGGGTAGTTACCAATCTGATTACAGGAGATGGTCTCTTCAAGCACCCTCTCCACTATTGCTAGGAGTCTTAGCTGGGGTCATCCTTGTAGATTCCTGTGCGTTTTTCTGGTACCAGGTTTCTCTCTAACCCCAAAATTGCCCCCATCAAGATATCTTTTTCATTACTCTCTCCTTCCATCTGCCCCCAACATGCCCAACACAATCCCCCATGTCCACATCTCCCTACACACTCCCCACCCCCAGTTTACCCAGGAGATCTCTTCTACTATACTTAGCAAAACTTCCAATCACTATAGATGGTGAAAACAAGCTATTTCATAACACAACCAGATTTAAACAACCTATCCACAAATCCACCCTATGGAAAGTACTAGAAGGAAAATTCCAATGCAAGGAAGTTAGCTGCACCCACAAAAACACAGGCAGTTGATAATCTCACACCAGCAAACCCAAAGAAAGGAAACACACACACACACACACACACACACACACACACACACACACACACACACACACTCTATCACCACCACCACCAAAACCAATGAATAACAAGAATTAACTATCAATGGTCATTAAAATTTCTTAATATCAATAGACTCAATTTGCCAATAAAAAGACACAGGTGAACAGAATGGATATGAAAACAAGATCCATCCTGCTGCTGCATACAAGAAACACATGTGAACTTGAAAGGCAGACATTACCTCATAGTAAATGGTTAGAAAAAGATTTTCCAATCAAATGGACACATGAAGCAAGCCAGTATGCCTATCCCAAATCTAACAAAATAGACTTCAAACTAAAATTAATCAAAAGAGATGGAGAAGGATATTTCATATTTCATCAAAAGAAAAACGATCAGGATAAAGTCTCAATGTTCAACATCTATGCCCAAATACAAGGACACCCACATTTGTAAAAGAAACATTACTAAAACTTAAATCACACATCAAATCCCATACATTAATAGTGGGAGACTTCATCACCCCACTCTCACCAATGGACAGGTCTGTCAGACAGAACCTTAACAGAGAAAAAAACATAATTAACAGATATGACTCAAATGGACTTAACAGACATCTACAGAACATTTTACCCAAACACAAAAGAATATACCTTCTTCTCAGCACTTCATGAAATCTTCTCTAAAATTGACCACATACTCAGTCACACACACACACAAAAAAAAACTCAACAGATACAAAAAAATTTGGAATAACCCTCTATTGGATCACCATGGTAAAAGTTAGAGTTCAAGAACAACACAAACTACAGAAAGCCTACAAACTCATGGAAACTGAACAACTCTCAAATAAACTACTACTGGGTCAAAGAAGAAATAAAGAAAGAAATTAATTCATTCAATGAAATGAATTCATAACATATCCATACTTAAGGGACACTCTGAAAGCAGTGCTAAGAGGAAAGTTCATAGCATTAAGTGCCTACACAAAGAATTTCAATTAATCTCACACTAGTGACTTCACAGCACACCTGAAAGCTCTAGAATAAAAAGAAATGTATTGTTTAGTAAAATCTTCAACTCTACCAAAGCACTTCTTGTTCCTCACCCAATTACAGGGTGTTATGTGTGCACATCCCATTACACACTCAATGTTCTCTGCAGCCAATACTTTACTTCATAGCTGGGAGGTTCTGCAGCCAAACACAGGTCACATTCAAACAGTAACAGTTATTAAACAAAAAGAGGCCATGGATTAGAACACAATGAAGGGCCTATGGGAGGACTTGGAGGCAGGAAAAAGATAGTGGAAATAATGTAATTTTAATTCCCCCAAATTATGTTAAAAAGTTAAAACAGGCCAGGTGGTAGTGGTGCATGCCTTTAATCCCAGCACTGGGGAGGCAGAGACAGGTGGATCTCTGTCCTTTCCAGGCCAGCCTGATCTTTGTCCTTTCCAGGCCAGCCTGATCTACAGAGTTCCAACATACGCTCCAAAGCTACAGAAAAATCCTGTCTTGAAAAATCAAAAAAATAGTTGAAACAGGCTTTATGGTCATGTGCTCCAGAGACTAGGGAATTGTATTAGAGTACACAAAATACTATTTGCATAATTTCTCTCAGGGTATATATCTTAAACCTGGAAAACACAGTCAAGTTCAGCAGGGCTGCACTATTTTATCCAGTTCTACTATTTTGCTTGAACTAGTGTAATTACAGTAATTTGGTTCCATGAAAATTCAGTTCTTTATCCAGATTCTTGATTGCCTAGTCTGTGAAACTGAGAAATGGCCAGTCAAGACATTTATGGAAAATCTAAACTTGATTACCTTAATACTCATTGCTAATGTCAACTACTGTCACAGCAGGAAAGCCTTTACCCTCTCCTTGCCCATCCCTTTCTGTGTTTTGTGACTACACCTGCTTTACAGTGGGTCAGTGAATTCATTCTTACCCAGGTCCTACTTCATTTGTAAATTCACAGTAAAATCTAGAGAACTTGGAGGATACTCATTCACTGATCTATTTTTCCTTTCCACAGACCAGCCAAGTCCCAGCCTGGAAGTATTTACAGGGCTGTCTTCCCAGCACTGGGCAGCAAAGGCAGATTAGGTGTTCAAAGCAATTCTCAATTGTATGTGTGAGACATGCCTGAGCTACAGAAGACCTTGATCTAAACCAGTGGTTCTCAACCCTCCTAATGCTGTGACTCTTTAATACAGTTCCTCATGATGTGGTGACCCCTCAACTATAAAATTATTATCACTGCTATTTCATAACTATAATTTTGCTGCTTTATGAATTGTAATATAAATATGAGTGTTTTCTGATGGTCTTAGGACAGTCTTGTAATATGGTCATTTGATCCCTCAAAGGGAGCTGTGACCCCCAACCCCCAGGTTGAAAACCACTGCTCTAAACTGATATAAATAAAATAAATAGCACTTAAGAAAAAAAATGGAATGAAATTCTTAAACTGGGAAATATTTGAAAATAGAAACAGAGATTATTAGAGCAGTAATGCATTTAAAGAAAATGCAATTTTAAAAATGATACCAATAATTGAGGGTTTTAAATGACAAAATATCTGGAAGAACACTTAGCTATACTGACTTTGAAACAGAATAGGCACTTCCCTGGTAGAGAGCATGTCATTAATAATAAACTGTGAATTATTCCCATGTAAAATGTTAGCTATTGAGTAGTGTAAGCTGACAGATTTACAGCCAATGGCCTTTGTCTCAAACCTCTGAGCTGACTTAACTGTGTCAACCAGAATTGCACATATCTGCATAGGAGAATATCCCAATTAGAAACTGCATACTCCATAATTCAAGCTACCCCTCCTAAATTGTACAACAACCAATTCTGTCTGTCTTCATTTACACAGAAGGAATTAATACATGCAGGAAAATTACAGAAAAAGTCACTCACCCTGCCCCATCAGTCCTTCTTTCTAATGGAGACCCCTGCAGCTCACTGCTTTCAACTTCAGTCTGTGATCAAGCTATTGTCTAGTCTGTTTTCCCCTGCAGTGTACAGAGTACACTGTTCCTCTTCTTCTGGTCTGAAGGGAGAAGCCATGCTCCACACATAAATTCGTTTTCTGTTACTGCAATGGACAGTCTACTATGTCACTCAAATTGGTAACTGTAGAACTCTTTGGTGCTGCAGACCTGTAATCTGAGAATTTAGGGTTGTTAGTGAAGAGGAAAGGAAGGGTAATGCCCTATAAGGCTACTGACAGGGTTCAAGTCCACCTCAATCTCTATCGGAGACCTTGACTCAAAACTGCTTTTCAAAAAGACTGGAGAGGCAACTGTTCTAGAATTAATGTATCTTCATGGCACACCAGGACTTAATGTTGGTTGTGACTCTTTAACGGTCCCTTGAGCAGCATTGAGAGGCCTGTTTTTTTTTTTTTTTTTTTTTTTTTTTTTTGGTTTTTCGAGACAGGGTTTCTCTGTGTAGCTTTGCGCCTTTCCTGGAACTCGCTTTGGAGACCAGGCTGGCCTCGAACTCACAGAGATCCGCCTGGCTCTGCCTCCCGAGTGCTGGGATTAAAGGCGTGCGCCACCACCGCCCGGCTGAGAGGCCTGTTTTTTAATGGAGGGATGGTCCTTTCTGCTGGTTGAAAATTAGGGTTGTCTCCTTCGTTATGAAAATGTAGCTTTATACCTGGTTAATCCTGCTTAACACACATTTCTATCTTACCATACTATTCTCTACCAGGCATGGTTAGTATATTACTTATCTTTGGGGTATTTAGGATGGAGCCCTCCCTTACCTAAATTCTACTTTGTAACTTAGTGTCTTCTAAAAATGGGTAAATCCCTATGCTATCAATTCTATTATAATAAATTCTACTCTTCTGCATCACAATTTAGCAGTGGAGTGTTACTTTACACAGGAAATACTGTTTACAAGCTCCACAAAATTAACTCCGGAGAGACCCTAGACCTAAATGTTAAGTGTTAAAACCTCAGAACTTCTGGAAGATCCTTGAAAGACTAGGTCTCTCTGAGTTTGGCAAACCTGCCTTCCATGTTGAAAATACAAGCACTACTGGTGCCGGCATTTCACAGTGACCTCAACAACAAGGATATTTCTAAGCACAGTCTTGCTCCCAATGCTCTGTAGACGCAGCCAGCAGAGTGAGGTTATTCAGAGGTTGTCGCCCCGGCCCAGGAAGTTGCAAGGACCACACAGGACCAGCAGGAATATGCCAAACTCTGTGTCCAGCCACTGGCTCTCATTTATCCAGGCAAGGACCCACCACACCAGCTCCCACGGCTCAGCCACCTTCCCCACCCAGTCTGGGGACAGCAGCCCCTCACTCACCATTCCCAGCGACTCCTCCCCGCCTGAGGACAGTGGCCTATCACTAACAAAGGCCAGCCACTCCTCCCTATCTGTGGAGAGCTGGCCCTCCCTCACCAAGATGCAGCTGCTGAGATGACCCACGCTCTCCCCACGATGGAGGCCTAGGCACAACACACACGACAATTTCCGACTTCCACAAGAGAGGAGCTGTGAGCTAGAAGCCTTGCTCCCGGAAGTACCTTCCCATTTGACTGCCGGGTCCACTGGAGGCTCTGATTGGATAGTGAAGACTGAGTGACAGAACCAGCGAGCTGACAGGACAAAGCACAGTAGTTCCCAGCCCTGACTTCCAATGTAAGGACAGACTATCCTGAGTTGGCTGAAGATTTGTGCCAAATTCAACTGCAAGTCTCTCGTTAATGTGAACCAATGGGTTCAGTTTTAAAAAGAAGTATACAAATTCAGAACGAGGCTAATTAGACAATTTTGCACAAGAGGAACACAGGGTCACTCAAGGACATTATAAACAAAGTCCACAGTGGCCTTGGGACTAAAAACCACAGCCCCATTTGTAGAAGGAGGTGGGTTCTCAGGATCTTAAGCCACCCCTCCCCAAATACCCTGGCCCCAGACCTTTACCAGTTCTCCCAAGCATATTCCAGATTTTAGAGAAGGAGCTCTGTTTCTTTCTCAATACATCGGGGTCTTGGAAAAACCTTCCATGGCCTAGGGAGGTTGCAAACTCAAAGAGGCCTAGTTTCAAGTGTCTTCTAGAAGTTCTGCACTTTAAATTTGACATTTAGATGTAACATTCATTTGGAGTTAATTTTGTGGAGGTTATAATGACATCTCATATACTGGGTAGCACCAATTGCTAAGCAGTGATGTAGAAGAGTATAATTGGTAATATAAAGGATTTACCAATGTGTAAGAGATAGTCACACAAAGTAGAATTTAGCTAAAGGAGCCCTGCCTCTAAAATAACCCGAAGATAAGTAGTATGTTAACCAGGGCTGTTAGAGATTAGGATGCTAGGATAGAAACTTTCATTCACCTTTTATGTATTGGTTATTGTACTGTTATTGGTCACATGTCTGTAATCAAAACAGGTAATGGGATGCTGATCTATGGACTAGACAGAGAGATCCTCTGTGTAAAGATCTCTCTATAGTAAACTGGGGCATCATAGTTTTAAGAGGGATTTTTAGTTATGTTGTATTGGCGACTGTACACATCAAATCATTGATGTCTCATTATGTATTTGCTATTTCTTTGTATTGCCAACATACACCCACTAAAACCAAAAGCATGGTTATAGTAGTGATGCCATATATTATATGAAGACTGTCTTGTGTTTTCTCTAAGGTTTACTTTATCAGATTGTACCTAGAAAATAGTAATTTATTTCATTATCTTATACACAGTTTCTAATTCAGCTGTCTTTTATTTAGTTCTTGTTGCTCAGCACTATCTTAAGACAAACAATTGGCACCTTCCTACGATCAGCTGTGCCTGCTTACAGAGGATGGCCACCACCAGGTTTGCTGACTATTAATATTCCATCATAGAAGGAGATATCCCCTCCTTCTGAGTGTACAGCCTCTTTCCCAACCAACTGCATACAATTCAACTCTAATGACATTTGATCATGTGGTTTGGGGGAGGAGCTAGAGTACATAGCCTGGAAATACTTGGGAGGAGGTGGTTTCTGCATTTGCACCTATGAGAAAGTCATCTTAAAAAGGAATTTACCTTGAGTGCTATCAGATTTATCTCCTTTGTACACTAAGAAATGTAATGTAATGCTAGAGTATATGGGCAGAGAGAAGATGAGTTCCACATATGCAGCTATGGGAGAGTCATAGTACATACTGGGTGGAGACATTCCTGTGTGGCTGCTTTTGGGTAACTTAGAGTATCTGTTGCTGTGAAGATACACCATGATTTCAGCAACTCTTATAAAGGAAAACATTTCATTGGGGCTAGATTACCTTTTCAGAGGGTTTAGCCCATATCATCATGGCAGGAAGCATGGTGGCATGCAGGCAGACATAGTGCTGGAAAAAGAACTGAAAGTTCTACATCCAGATTGGTAGGCAGCAAGTAGTGACTCTGTCACTCTTCCTCCAAAAAGGCCACACCTACTCCAACAATGCCATACCTCCTATTAGTGCCACTCCATATGGGACTATGGAGGCCATTTTTATTAAAACGATCACAGTATCCAAACTCTTGTATCTCCTCAACCATGTTCAGTAAGTAAGCTCAATGATCTAATTGGTTCCCCAGGGTGGACTTCAGTAAAACTGTATTTTCATTTTCACTGGGACTTATGGGGATGAGATAGACATTGCCTTGTCCACCCCTACCAGCGAGAAAATTCTTACAACAGATCATAAATATATTTGTTAATGTTCCTATGTCTCACAGAATTAGAAAAAGGAACTGGTACATAAAGCATGTTAGGAGGGTGTAAACATGGAAATGACCTTAGAAAAGGACTTAGATATATGAAGATGATAATGACTGCATAGCTCTGGAGTAAAAAAGATGGAAAAGCTTTGCAAACTTATGAAGGTCTGAGTAAGTTGTTTAAAGTACATAAAGGTTGAAATTTAGAAATCATATATTGTATTAAAGTTGGCAAGGTCAGATATCAACTGTTTCAAGGACTGGCTGAAATGTGTGTCAAAAAAAGCTTATTGAGTTATGTTTGGCTACTGAAATAGTACACAGTAGTTAAAAGTACCAAAATGGTGTAAAACTGATCTCCTGAGTGTTTCATAATCATTCTTGGAGGCTATGCTGATATGTTTAGAGAGACTAAAAGGGGGAATATTTCTCCCCTTTCCCTACAAGGTCAATGAGATCTCTGGGGACTAAGGTCATTGATCGCTTGTCTTATTCATGGAGACCATGGAGACACCACTTAATGAATTTGAAACATTTTCCAGTCTACAAAAAGGAGAACCAAATGTGGGAAAGATTTACTCAAGGCTTCAAAGGAAGCCACAGCACAAAGAGCAAAGACTTTGATTTATCCTCACATTGATGGACAACTAGTAAAAGAATGGCTAGAAGAGTCTGAGGTTCTTCTCAAATCCAAGTGACCCCTGAAGACTAGTTGTTCAACTGGCCTTGACAGCAAAGAAAGAAAGATTAATTTTAGCTACCTGCATAGTCTTCAACACTCAGCAGGAAAGTTTAAGCAAAGACTAAGAATTGGTCACAACCCAAGGGATCACACTCCAGAGATATTAGATATAAGTGTACATGAAATGTTATTTAGACAACCAAACTCACTGATATTTTCTTCTTCACAAAAAGATGTTGCCCAGATTTGAGAAATCAGATCTTAGATCAGTGAACACCTGCCCACATCCAAGGAAAACAAGTTCATAGTTTTTTTTTTTTAACCCCCAAATTAAATGATGCTAAATAACTCTTCTCTCCCTATCCAGAAGCCACATGGGAAGGGCATCATGCTGACTTTGGGGTGATGAAACAGCCATGAAGAGGTGTGAAAGATAATTTTGGGTTCATCACTCTGGAGACCAACTGTAGAGGTCAAAGGGAAGCATCTATTAGTTGGGGGATACTATAATCCCATCAATAATGTCTTGTTGACTTTGTACATTTTAGTCCTTACCAGACACCAGGAAAAGAATTCCTTTCCTGTCTATTTCCAAGCATTTCATCTTTACATGAGGACCTCTGGAAAGGTATCCCAATACTGCCACCTGGTATCCCAAATTCAGCTGGAAGAAGTCAGATCAGTCATTGCTCCAATCCCATCACAGCAGTTAGGATTACCTCTTCAGAGGAGGTTAAATAAGAACTGGAGGTAGAAATCAACTAGGCAGTTTAGGATAAAAACCCCCAAAGAAAAGAAACTAGTTGCTTTCTTGACTAAAAGCCAGGAATGTCATGGGACTCTTACCAGTTTCATCCTTGACAGAGGCCAAAGATACCAAAAGTGATTTTGGGAGCTCGGGTCTCTGATGCTATGTGATTCTGGGGGACTTAGGAAGCAGGTAAGTTAAAAGTGGTAATGAAGGCCAATTATGAGAAAACGGTCCTTGGTCTAGAGAATAAAATCTCTGTGCCAGGTAAAGACCTAACCTTTCAATAGGGATAGGTCAATCTTCTGGCCAAGGAACCTAGTCTGTGGAGCCCAAAAAATGGCCACTCAGGACATTTATCAGTCACCTATAATTGGTTAACAGATAGCACATTGGAAACCCAAACTGCAGACAAAACTGGAATATTTTAAGGGTCCTTCCCACATCTTCCTTTCTGTACCATGACCATAACAGCTTGTAATGTGTGAACAATGAATTTCCATTCTTACACAAGCAACTCCGCATTGCCACTCCACAATAAAAACCTGGGATGCACTAGGATGCTCATTCTTCTGTCTCTTTTGCCTTCTTGCTGAGCAGTCAAGGCCCTGACTGGAATGACTGACACACTTGAGCTTGGAGGTGGGAAATGGACAGTGGAAATGATATAATTAAAATCCCTCCAAAAATAAGAAATTGAAACAGGCGTTATGGCCATGTGCTCCAGAGACTAGAGATTTGTAATAGAACACACCAAGGTTTACTCACACCTTTTCTCTCAGGCTGAACATCTTAAACCTGGAAAACAACAGTCCTGTTAGACAGGGTCACACCATTTTATCTAGATCTTCTATTTTGGTTGAACTAGAGAAACTACTGTAATTTGGTTTCATGAAAGTTCAGTTCTTTATCCAGATTCATAATTGCCTGGTCTGTGGGCAGTCAGGAAACTTATTGACCATCTAACATTGATTACTTCAGTACTCATCACCAATGTCAACTACTGTCACAGCAGGAAAGCTTTCACCCTCTTCTTGCCCATCCATTTCTGTGTTGTGACTATACCTGATTAAAGTTGGTCAGTGAACTCAATTATTGCACAAATCTGTCTTCATTTGTAAGTTCCCAATAAAAGCCAGAGAGATTGGAGGATTTTCATTCACTGGTCTCTTTTTCCTTCTCACTAACCAATCATGGCCCAGACTAGAAGGAGTGGCAGGACTGTCTTCGCAGCCCAGAGTCGGGGTTAAATGGCCAAAACAATTCTTAATTATATAGTGTGAGGAAAGGCTGAGCTACAGAAGAAATAGTACATGGTGGGAAATTATAAATGACTAACCCTGCCACAATCAGGTCCAATTTTATAATGGTAACTCCAGCAGCTGACTGCTTATTCTTTTTTCCCTGTACTACACACAAGAAATTATTCTTCCTATACTGCTCTGAATGCAGAAGACATGCTCCACATGTAAACCCTTTTCCAGTGACTGCAATGGATAGTTAACTACAGGACTCAAAAAGGTAATTTTAAAACTCAGTGAGGGTACAGCCCTTTAAGAATTTAGTTGGATTAATCAAGAGGACAGTAAAGGCATTGCCCTGGGAAGCAACAGACTGGGATCAAGGCCACCAGAGTCAACATAAGAGAACTTGTCTCAGAAACATTTTCTTAATGGCTGGAGGGACAGATGTTCTAGAATTAATATGTCTTCTGTAGATGTAACCAACCATCTTATTAAATAAGAAACACAGAACCAATGCAAAGAAGAAAGCCAAGAGATCAGAGCTAAGAGCCTTACCCGCCTGCTACAGCTAGCCTCTTAAGCCAAGAGACCTCTCCGAAAGATAGCTAGTTCCTGTCTGTTTGTCTTTATATAGAGTTTCTGTTCTGCCTTCTCATTGGTTGTAAAACCAACCACATGACTGCCTCGTCTGTTGTACAGCCCTCCAAGTCTTCTATGGTATTGAGATTAAAGGCGTGTGTCTCCAATGCTGGCTGTATCCTTGACCACACAGAGATCTGCCTGCCTCTGACTCCTGAGTGTTGGGATTAAAGGTGTGCTCCACCAACGGCCAGCTTTTGCTATGGCTCTAATAGCTCTGACCCCCCAGGCAACTATATTTATTAATATACAATTAAAATCACATTTCAGTACAAATAAAATACCACCATATTTCCCCTTTTCTATTTTAATAAAAAGAAAAAAGGAAAAAGGTTATAACTAACATAAAAAACTATATACAAAAGTACAATAACTATAGACAAATATATACAAGTAATAAATACCTAAACAATGTCTAGTCCATTTGTATTTGACAAATTCAGAGAAAATAATTCCATTATCTATCCAATTTTGGTAAGTCCAAAATGTACCTAATTCACTTTCTATATCCTAACTAGTCTTCAACTATAACTAACCAAACTTCAACTATAAATAACTAATCTTCAACTCCCTCAGAGACCCAAGAAGGAAATAATATTAGCTAACAAAAATAAAAACAGGAAGTGCATGCAAGCAACTTCCAAAAAATTTGTGAGTTGACAGAAACAGACAGCTGCCTGCACAGTCACCTGAGGTTTCTCCGCAGTGTTCGGGCATCATCTTCAGCCTATAGGATTGGCATATCTGACAGACTTATTTGTGAAGCAGGATATACACAAGGTCACTAGTTGGACCTCACATTGGGTGAGAGCAGTCCATGTACCAGAAACACCTGAATTCCACTAGTGTCATGTCATGATTCAGGATTTTAAATTCTGGAAATTGTTGATGGTTTTTGAATTCAGCTATCCATCCTTCTTGGCTGTATATATATGGCTTCATCTTAGCATCCCATTCTTCTCCACATCCCTCTATTAAATGCCAGTCTACTATTGAGAGGCGTGAGCTTAGTTACTCTTCAAGAATAACTGTTTCAGCTGCCGTTCCATTGCACATCAGAAGCCATCAGCCCACTGCCTATTCAGCTGCCTTCGAAGAAAAGGGCACTGTACCTTTTCCAGATTGCGAAGGCCACTTCAGGGAAGGTGCCATATTGTCCTGGCCTCAGAAAATGCCTTTTGATAAAGCCATAACCACACTTGTTTTGGCAAGAATCGGTAGTCCTTTGCTTCATGTCCTGTCTGTCCATTTTGTCCTGTTGATTCGAGGATACTTTGTTGTCCAGTGACTAACTTTTGCCACAATGAAAGTTAACTCCATATACAGTTTTTTCAATGCCCATATTTTCTCTGAAGTAGATTGGTACTGCCAGGAGCCGACATGTCTCATAGTCATAACAAAAAAGAAAAATTTTCTAAGTTATTAAAATATTTAAAATGCCATATTCTGTAGATCTCTGAAGGGTTTGAAGATGACCTATCTATCTAAAATATATCTGCTCAATTTTTAAAACAATCTAATATGACTACACGTTCTATTGTAATGTCTAACTACTAACTTTCATTTCTTTATATCCTAATAGTTGGTAATAATAACATTCAAGGATCAGAAATTTGCATTACATTGTTAAATGAATGGTATAAGTACAATTGGAAATATACACATAGCATTTTCTAACAATATCAATATCAATATATATAATTTGTATACAATATAAAACAATACAATCCAATGTAAAGTATTTAAAACTAGTAATTGTCTTTTTCTTTTCTTTTTTTTTTTAAACAAGAACCTTAAATCTAATCTCCTTTGCTTAGCCTTTCTCCTAACCCTTGACAACAACTTGTAACCAACCCCCCTAAACAATGAAAATTATCCCAGACCCAAAACCCATTAAAAGACCAAAAAACCACCCGCCCCATACCACCTCTTTGGGAATGTGGGCGTTGTATTCTTAAAATTGCTTCCTGCTGGGTATGGGCAAAGTTATCTTTATCCTGAAAGAAAAATTTTAGGTTAATTGTCAAATTCTAGGAAAGGCAACTATATCCTTCATTATCAAGTCTGTGTATAATGCCAAAGTTCAGGGTTTATCTCAAATCCTTATTCAAGTAGTCTTTGAGACTGGATCATCTCAGCTAGTCATCTCAAAATTGCTCTGAGCACTTTGTAGTTCAAAGCTGATCTGTAGATGATGTTTGTCAGCTTAATGACATTATTATTGTCCATGTAGAATTGTTGTTGTGGGGCCCCACCTTCTTCCTGGAGACTTCAGTTGATGTTAGGCCTGACCGTGATTTCCTGCAAAAAACTGATAAGAGACTCGAACACAAAGACATATATATGCAGCTAATTGAAGCCTTTTTTCTAGAATTAGTTAGTACTCTTAACAAAGTTTAAAATGTATATATATATATATTAATCTTGTAAATTCTGATATAAAATTCATACTTTAAGAAAAGTTTAAAGAATCAAAATAGAATCAAAGAGTTGAGATTAGTAATAGAATAGCCCCTTAATTAATTTGGCTTTTCTCCTGTCCCATAGCAGAAGATGGCTCTTTTCTTCTGGCATGATACAGGGAGTTTGCATTTTCCTTTTAACAACATGCTTGAGTTTAAAGAAGGAGAGAGCCATTCTCTAACTCCAAAGTCAGCTTTAAATTTTAATTGAACTGGGACTATTAGAAGACCAATAGTGTTAGATCTTTAGAGAAGAGCAGAAACAAACATTTAGGAAGACATAAAAATTTTTTAGATGATATACCCATCCATTTCACTCTGTTTCCTGAGATAGATGATTTGTCCCTTTTCTTCAGTTGTATCATTTGTCCAGTGTTCTTCAAATTCCTTAACCTTCATTCTCCTAAAAGACAAAAACCTTTCCCCAAGACTAATTTTGGGGATGTTCCTTTTTGGCAAGTTATTATCTGATTAAATGAAAAGACATGTGTTACTGGTATAAGTTAGTTTAAATTGGATGTTCATACTGTTTGATGAACTATCACCTCCTCTAATTAAGAGGTCTCTCTTGTTCAAATCGAACCTTTATCAATTTTGATGGTACCCACAGCTTATCTTCTCCTGCAGAAACAAAAGCAAAACCTCATCCCCAACGTAACACATATCCTAGTTTCCATTCTGAGGTCAGCACATCCTTAAAGTATATAGGCTGATTTAATTCTGTAGTTTTTTTCTATTATCCAATGTCTCTCTGCAGCTCTTGTTCCTTTCTCATTGGCATTGAGAAAATTCAAAGTTAATAGAGCATTATGCAGTCTATTTCTAGGGGTTTTTGTTACCCCTTTCTGTTTATTTATCATATCCTTTAGAGTTCTGTTTGATCTTTCTATAACTGCTTGACCTGTAGGATTATGTGGTATATCTGTAATATACTTTATATTGTAATAAGCAAAAAACTGTTTCATTTTAACAGAGACATATGATGGAGCATTGTCAGTTTTGGTTTGTGCAGATATACCCATGATGGCCATAACTTCTAGCAAATGAGTGATTACAGAATCAGCTTTTCAGTACTCAAAGCAGTTGCCCATTGAAATCCTGAATAAGTATCAATGGTATGGTGTACATATTTCAATTTTCCAAATTCTGCAAAGTGAAACACGTCCGTCTGCCAGATTTCATTCCTCTGAGTACCCTTTGGGTTACATCCTGCTGGTAATGGCATTTGATTGTAGAAGGAACAAGTAGGACATTTCTTTACTATTTCTTTGGCTTGTTGCCAGACCCTCCAGGTCTTCTATGGTATTGAGATTAAAGGCGTGTGTCTCCAATGCTGGCTGTATCCTTGGCCACACAGAGATCTACCTAGCTCTGCCTACCAAGTTCTGGGATTAAAGGTGTGCACCACCAACGCCCAGCTTTTGCTATGGCTCTAATAGCTCTGACCCCCAGGCAACTTTATTTATTAACATACAATTAAAATCACATTTCAGTACAAATAAAATACCACCATAAGAAATCACTCTACATACTTAAATGATCAATAAACAAAAATCTCTTAGTAACAACGTGCATCCATCTCTAGCTAATGCTAAATGAGGGCCCAGCCAGAACAGACTGGGCATTCCATATTTGATACCATCCTGAAGTCTCTTTTAGGATCAGACTGTAGATTTATTTTGAACAATTTAAATAGGGTCAGGGGACTGCAAGTGTAGCCACTTAGGCAGATGAATATTTACAGAGAAAATCGGTCTTTTAGATCATACATTATAATCTACATTCAAAAGATGTATCAATACATTTAAAAGATGTATCCTTACCTTTAATTCTCACACACACAAAGGGCAGAGAACACAAATACAGAAAACATCAAGGAAGTGTCACCTATCAGTCTTGTGGGTACTGTTCTTAGATGACTAGTTTCTGCTGAGCTGTTTGAACCTCAGAAAAGGGCTGTTTTTCACTTCTGAGCATGCTGCAGCAGAGGAAGCGCACAGGTGCTTCCACACAGGACCAGAAGGAGCTAATTTTAACTAGCCCCATCTACTGTCTGTCTCATGGTTGAGACATCACTGTAGAGAATTCTATATTTTTAAGCTTTATTTTTATTTTATGAATATGGTGTTTGCCTGCTAGTATCTGCAGCACCTTCAGAGGCCAGAAGAGGGCATCAGAACCCTTGGAACTGGTGTTAGAGGCCATGGTTAACTACCAGATAATTTCTGGAAATGGACCCTGTGTCCTCTGTAACAGCACCCATTGCTCTTAACTTATAAGCCATCACTCTAGCTGCTTTTCTGTTTAAAATTTATTTGAATACATTTTAATTAAAATATATTATATCACTCTCCCCCTTCCTTGTCTTCACTGCATTCTTTCACAAATTCTTCCCTTCCAATTTCTTCCTTGTTAAGCATGTGTGATTAAGTATGCACAAATATATAAATAAAACCTGCTGTGTTAATTTCTGTTGGTTGTGTGTATATGGTTAAGAGCTGAACACACAGCATTAGATAAGCAATTAGGGAGCTCTTCTCTACCTGAGGCTAATTCTCTCACCTGCTTGTACAGACCCTCTGGAAATCAGTATGGTGGTTTCCCAGAAAATTGGGGATCAATCTACCTGAAGACCCAACTATACCACTCTTGCACATATAGCCAAAGGATGCTCAATCATACCACAAGGACACATGCTCAGCTATGTTCATAGCAGCTTTATTTGTCATAACCAGAACCTGGAAACAACTTAGATGCCCCTCAATTGAAGAATGGATAAAGAAAATGTGGTACATATACACAATGGAGTACTACTCAGCTATTAAAAACAATGACATCAGGAAATGTGAAGGTGGATGAATGGAACTAGAAGAAGTCATTCTGATTGAGGTAATTCAGACCCAGAAAGACAAACATGGTATGTACTCACTCATAAGTGACTATTAGCTGTAAAGTAAATGATAACTATGCTACAATCCACAGCCCCAGAGAGGCTAGGTAACAAGGAGGACTCAAAGGGGGACAGGGGTGCATGCGTTTCCATGGGAAGTGGAAATAGAAGAGATCTCTTGAGTTGTCTGCAGGCCATTAGGGATGGGAACATGAGGAATCAGGTTGAGGGGTAGATGAAGGGGAGAATACTGAAAATGATGACTATAAAGGGGGAGAGCATTTCAGTTTTAGGTGGAAACCTGATGAAAGGGAATCTCCCACAAATCTACAAGGATGGCCCCAGCTAAGATGCCTAGCAATAGTGGATAGGTAGCCTGAATTGGCTGTTTCCTGTAATCAGATGGTAACTACACCAATTATCATTGGAAAGCCTTTGTCCAGCAATTGATGGAAACAGATGCAGATATTCACAGCCAAGCACTGAGATGAGCTTGGGTAATCCTGTTGAAGAGAGGGAGGGAGGATTGTATGAGCCAAGAGGGTCATGGTCATCACAAGGGAAATTACATAAGCAACATGGAGTTCACAGACTGTGGACTGCTGGCTAGGGATTCTGCATGGGACTTGTCTAGAACCTCTGCATATGTATGACAGTTGGGTGGCTGGGTCTACTTGTGGGACTTCTTAGCAATGGGAGCATGGCCTGTTCCTAAAATTTTGGCTGGCTTTGGGGAACCTGTTCCTAATGCTGGATTGCCTTGTCTTATTTAATACAAGGAGAGGAGCTTAGTCCTATCTCAACTTGATATGCTATGCTTTGTTGGCATCCATGGGAGGCCTGCCCCTTTCTGAACCGAGGTGGAGGAGAGGTGGATTTTGGAAGCAGGTAGAGGGAAGGTGGGACAGGGAATGGGAGGAGATGGGAGGGGAAGCTGTGGTCTGGATGTAAATAAATATAAAAAGTTTTATTAATAATATAAATAAATTATGAATAAGAAATAAAGAAATCCAATTACATTCAAAATCATATGAAAATGGTGTCATGTGTCTTTTCTAATGCACAGGACTTTCTGTATTAACACAAGTGCTATTCACCCATCTTGACCAAAGCAAAGGGCCCTGAAATGTGTACCTAGAGGTTGCAGAAGGCAAAGAACCTGGTAAGTTGGGATGAAGCAATGGCACAGGTGAGATGTCCAAAGTAAGGCAAAATTCCATCCTGTAGTGGAGTGACACAAGCTCTTCATTAGAAAAGTAGAAAGAATTCCTGAAATTTTCATGTAAAATAATGCACTCAAGATGTATCACATAGTTTATATTAGATGACCTCAGCCTTATTTCATGTGAACAATGTTGATTTGAAATCTAGAATCTCAATGTAATTGGCAAATATGTGAGGGTCTATTCAGTGCTCCTCTGAGTATCTGTGTTTCTGGGTCTTCATGCCTATTTTAAATAGTTATGGTAGCTATCACTACAAAACAATTTGAGGCAGTCCCTGCAAGCTGGCAAGCAGGTGAGAGACCTGAGTCCAGACTGCACCCTCACCACCACCCACTAGACCTTGTCCCTCCAAGACCCATTCCGCTGCCCAACCCCATGCACCTGAACATTCTCCCTGTGGACAGCCCTCCCCTGAAACCCAAGCAGATTGCATTGGCACAGGTGTAAACTGCACCAATTGGCAGAACAGGTACAGGCACAACCTACACCAGTTGGGACAACAGACTATATAGCTACAGGCATGATTCACAGCAGTTGGAAGAACAGATGAGTAAATACCAGTGTAAGAATACACTCAACAACCTGAAGAGCTATATGGCACCACCAGAACCCAATGATTCTACAACAGCAAGACCTGAACATTACAATGCTGTAGAAACAGAAGAAAATGCCCTTTAAAATAACTTTATGAAGATAATAGAGACCCTTAAAAAGGAAATAAAAATCCCCTTAAAGAAATCAAGGGAAAGACAAACAAAAAAATTGGA